TACAAATACTTCTACAGCTGGAAAATGATAACAGAAATTATAGAAATAATAAAAATGCGAATAATAGTAATAATAAAAATAAACACTAACAATGGAAATGAATTCGAAGAATAACTCCGACAGATATAATCGGATGAAGAGTTAATTCTTAAAGTTGCTTCAAATTGAAAAGATTCCACCGAAAGATTTATTATTCTATATATTTTCTGGGGTTTTCGGCTTATGAAGATTGTTTCAAATTAGTTTTTTTTTTCTCAACTTTTTTAATTTTTTGTCTGAGATGAAGAACTTCTTTGGTTAGATGATTAATTTAGTTTTAAACATTTAAAAAAAAGTATATTCTCTGCGGATTCGTTTGGCTTCGGGCTTTGGTGGATTGTTTTCATTTGTTGTCTCCCCAATTATTTCATTTTCTTGTTCGGAATTAAACATTTTTTCAAATAAATAATTAACTTAGTACTGGACAGTTTATGCGATTAAGTTACTAAATGGAGGAATTAGTTAACTATTTATCAATTTTTCTTTAGTAATTCCCAGAGATTCTATCAAATAAATAAATCAAGCCAACAGGGCATTACACGCATTTGAAGTAGCTGGCATTTTTACCGTTACAATAAAAACAAATTTAAAATGGATTTTTCTATAAATATTATTTACTGAAGTTCTTTTAACTTTGATATTAATTTGCTTTTTATGAAATAATAATGTAAACTTTTTCTGAAATTTTCAATTTAAAATATAATTTTAATTGAAAGTAAGCTATATTATAATTAAAATTTTTCAAATTTCTGGAAATAATTTTCAAAATGAAGCCTAAATTATTTTGATGACAAATTTTAATTAATAATTTCCTCCTTGTCAGCGTTTTTTAAATTTACTTTTTTGTGTTACAAAATTTTGAAAAGATATTTTTCATCTTTTGTTTGATCATTCATTTATTCATTCGTTCGTTCATTCGTTCACACTTGCATTCGTTCGTTCTTTCATTCGTTTGAGTTTTATTAATAATTTATTTTTCAATTACTGACAAAATTTTAGTAAAAATTTAAATGGGAAAATATTTTACATGCGCTTGAAATTCGATGCAGATAATAATTTTGAGGTTCGTCTATGTTTTTCCGTACAATTTTTTCTTAATTTAGTTTTAGGTTTATTCATTCGTTTCTCTATTTATCTACTCATTCATTCATTCAATGAATTAATTCAGTCAATCAATCATTCAATCACTTATTCATTGATTCATTCATATGCAAATTTATTCATTCACACATATAATGTTCTATTCATTCGTTCACTCACTGATACAATCGTTCCTCTCTATACTTCATCCATCCATTCAATTTCTTTATTCATCCATTCATTCATTCAATCATTCACTCATTCATTCATCACACTTCTTTTTTCATTCATTTATTTGGTTTCGTCTTTCTCTCCTCTCGGAAAGCAAACTTTCAAACGAGACGACACATTCTTCTTGCCTGTTTAAACATTTTAATAGTACTCACAAACATACATAAAAAAATTTTCAGAAAAAAAAACATTAACAAAAACTAGAAACTAAATGTGTGAGATGTAACACGCATACAACACACACACAACACACACACAACACACACAACACACACACATACACACACACGCAGGCACATACACATACACACACACAACGCATAAACACACGCGCATACAAGTGGATAGATATCCAGATAATAAGAATTTTTTTAACATCAGTCCATATTTGAAATTTAATCCATTCTACTCGCTCTCATGATATCTGGACTATAAATAAATTTTCTCTCTCTCTTTTTCTTCTTTTTCTCTATCTCTCTTTCTTTTTGTCTTCTAATCTCCCTTTCTACTTTTCTCTTTAACTTTTTTACTTACTTTCTCTCGCTTTCTTTTTTACTTTTCCTATCCTGTTTTTTTCCTTACATGCTTCCTCTCTTTCTTTCTCTCTCTTGCTTCCTCTTTATCTTTCTATCCATTTTTCTCTTCTATCTTTCTGCAAATTCTTTCTTTTCCTTTTTCTCTATCTCTTCCTTTCTTCTTTCTCTCTCTCCTCTCTCTCCTAATCAATCAGTCATGCATTCGATGTCACACTAGCCTGTTTGATCAACCGTAGGTCACCGGTTCGCACAGTAATTGATTTACAAAATATTTTATTCATTCAATCAAATTCATTCGTTTTAAATTTTTTTCTTTCCTTTTTTTGTTCTGTCTTTCATTTCTTCATTCATTTGTTTTTTCAGTCATTCATCCATTCAATTTTTCATTCATTCACTCATTCATTCATTCATTCATTTGTTCGTTTCGGTGTTCTTTTATTCATTCAGTCGTTCAGTTAACGGTCCCTTTCTCGATTGATTCAACCACTCATTGAACCAAAGATTCATTCACTCATTTATCCATAGATTCACTCATTTATTCACTCAATCATTCATTCATTCATTCATTCATTCATTCACTCACTCATTCATTCATTCACTCACTCACTCTTTCATTCACTCATCCATCAAACGCTCGGAAAAAAGAATCTTAGCACGCACGCACGAGCTATTTAGGACTGGATGTCACGTCAGCCAGCGTCGTTTATTTATACGTCAGTATGATGACGACGATGGCGATAATAAAATAATAATTATAAAATTATTTATAATAATAATTATAATATTATTGTTATTATTTTATTTTTTATTATAGTTATTATTATTATTTTTATTATTGTTATTATTAATATTTGATTATAGTAATATAGCATGGATGAATTTTAAATAGTGTTAGCAACTTTAGATTTGTTGACGTATGTGTGTTGTGTGTGCGTGTGTGTGCTTGTGTGTGCTTGTGTGTGCGTGTGTGTGTGTTAGCATGGGTGTGTATTTCATTAGTGTTTGCTATTAATTGTAACATTTATACCATGAATCATAGTGGAAAGTTGATTCAAATGTGTTAAAAACTTTTATGGATGACAGGAAATGGTGGTTCATTTATTGGGCTGTTTATAATAATTTCTAGGACCCAAAACTCCATCGTTTATTATCATCATCATCTTTACCATTTTTCATCTTTGTAATCATTTTCTGACATCATCTTTATCACTATTATCTTAATTATATTAATTCTCATTGGATGACGAGATGGTGTAATGGGTAAGAGCACCGGATTCTGCTGCTGCAATATCGCAGTGACTTGGTTTGAGTACAAGTGGATTCTCAGACCATCACATGTAATGTGTTTTATTCGATGATTTACGAATATCTAAATTAGGTATAATTTTTTATACTGAAAAATTGTTTAGACGTGCCAGACGGTTCACATCTAAACATATCACGATGTGAGTTTTATCGATGAGCCAAGTAAGACGCTAAGCCGAATCTGGGAGTGTTGAGTAATCTGAAGCCTTACGTGCAGACAAGCTCGTTTGTTAACTATTTAAACTCGCATTCCTTTTTCTTCCTACATAACCAGTAAGACAATTAATTGTTCGGCTGTATGTCTTATGTTCTTCATACAACTCGATCGTCTTTTACCTGCCAAACCCAAATTCTTCACAAAGCTGTACACTGAACAACCAACGACACCTCTTGCACCGACCTCAACTGCGTACAAAAAACACCTCAACCCACGTTGTCCTATCTCACTAATAAGCTCTTCATACTTGGCTGTTTTTAAAACGTGACTTGCTGCTATATTAGGCTCAAACGGTACACTCAGTTTGACTAAAGTGGCAGTGTACCACCACGTCGGCTCTCGCACTTGTATCTTTTTTTGAACGATGGGTAGTTCCTCATGCCTTCCAAATCTGCCATGACTTTCCAATCTCTGTCGTTATCAAAAATACTCTTTCGGTTGAAAACTTTAAGATATTATTAAGATAGACTCCTTGAACACTGCCATTCTGTAACGATGCATCGACATGTTGACTCTTCTTGACAAAGACATTTATTCGGGCGGCAATAACAGCCAAAAATAATTTAGCTTCTACACTTGACAAAAAGATGCGACAGAACTGCGACAACGATTTTAAATCTTTTTCTTTTGGAATAAAAACTCCGTTTGCAGTTCGCCAGTCTTCGCGAACAACACCGCACTTCCAGAATTCGACCAGTAGTTTATGTTGACATTTCATTGCGTGTGTATGTGTTTGTGTGTGAACGTGGTGTGTGTGTGAACGTGGTGTGTGTGTGTGAACGTGGTGTGTGTGTGAACGTGGTGTGTGTGTGAACGTGGTGTGTGTGTGAACGTGGTGTGTGTGTGGTTTTTCTGAAAATTAAAAACTTGCTTCATCACTATCCATCGCCACTGTTTTTGTGACGGTATTACCAACATCTCTGTGACCAACATCATCATCATCATCGTCGTCATCATCATCAGCATCATAATCAACTTTGCCGTTTAATGGGCGGCACTTTTAGTGTATCGAATAACCGAGTTAAAAAATATTTTATGAGTTCCTTCCAAACAATGATGATGATGACGACGATGGTGACCTGATGATGATGATGACGATGACGTCGATTTGGTTGCTGATTATGATTATGAAAACGATTATGACGATGACTACAATGATGATGATGATGATGACCGTAATTATCATCACAGCGATGACGACGATGACGACACCGTTATTAAGCTCGTCTGCAGATAGACCAATGATCTTCGGGTTAATTTTTTCACGCGAGAAAAAGTATGCGCAACATAAATATGTTTTTTTGCGAGATAATAATTAGCGCTACATTAATTCTTTTTGGTAATATAATATTTGCTCTACGCAAATGCTTTTTTTGCAAAATAAAAATTTGCTCTAGATAATTGTTTTTTTACGATGTAAAAATAAGCGATACATAAAAGCAAATTTTTTAGATAAAAAATTTACGCTACATAAATGCTTTTTTCATCTAGGTAAAACTAACGTTTCTTTAATTCTACAGTATTTTATGATTTTATGCCATTCATGGTTTGTCACTTCGAATGAGGATGTATTAAAAAAGTCTGGTTATGAAATGAGGAAATTACTGCAGATAATCCGACGGGGGCAGTTAAAGTTTTTTGGTCACATCATGCGGAAGGAAAAAATGGAAAATCTAACAACTACTGGAAAGATTGCAGGAAAAGTGATCGCGGACAACAACGAATAACATTCGTGAAGTCCTTGTGTCACTTGTTGAGTATCACCACATTTCAACTACTACAAAGTGTTGAAGATCGGGTTTTGTGGAGGTCGATGGTCGCCAGTGTCCTGAAAGGATAAGGCACAAGAAAGAGAAAGAAGATTGTTTATTATTATTATTATTACTACTACTATTATTGTTGTTGCTTTTGATGTTGCGCTGTCATTGTCATCATAAGCGATAACAATATTCATAGCAAGTTTGTAAAAGCAGGTGACAATAAGAGTAACAATAATAACATCAATAATGATACCGGTAATAAGAACAATAATAATAATAATATAAAGGAGAAAAAGAAAAAGAAGAAGAAAAAGAAAAAAAGAGGATGAAAAACAAGAAAAAAAGAAGATAAAAAGAATGAAATTTAAAAAAAGAGTAATAATAATTAAAAAAAGAAAAGCAATCAGCAGCAGTGCTAGAGGCTTTCCTAAAAAAAAAAACAAAAAAAAATTTTTTGATCTTTCGACTGGCTGGCTTGCAATTATCGTGAGAAAGATTTAATTTAGAAGAAGCAGTAGAGAGAGAAATATAGCCGAACTTTTGTCTTCTATATCCTATTACTGTCATCAGTGTTATCACCGTTATCACCGTCGTCATCATCATCATTATCGTCGTCATCATCAATATTATAATGATAATATTATTCTATTATATTATATTATACGTTTTATATAATGTATTATAAGAATTATTCCACTCCTATGCACAGTCATGCTTTTTGATTTGGTTTGTGTTTGTCGAAGGTTTAGTAGCAGTAGCAGCAGCAGTAGTAAGAGAACAGTAGTTGCAGCAGTAATGGTAGTAAACTTTTCACTAAAATTAGCAAAGGTAATTAGCTAGTGGGAATAGTAATAATACTAGTAGAAGTAAGAGTAGTAGTAGCATCATTATCTTAGTTATTCCATAATGAATAAAAGTTACAATATTTTATGAAATTTCATTTTCATGTTGATTTATGAATAATTCACATAGATAAATCTGCTAAAAATATTGAATGGCGTGAAATAATTTTACAGACAACGAGCACAAGAAGCCGAGACCAGTGGTACTACTCTATTAACTGGATGGTAAAGTTTTTATTATTAACATTTTTTCGGAAAATTTATTCTGTTATTATTAATTTTATTAGCTTTTTGACATTTTTTTTTCATTGTAAAGTAAAGTATTTTATTAACGATAAAATTGTCTTGAAAGCAGACAGAACCAGAACTATAAAACACAATGAGCACACACACACACACACACACACACACACACCAAACACACACATTCACATATACTCACACGCACACACAAAAACACACACACAAACACATACCCATACACTGACACACCTATACACTCACACACATACAAACAAAAACATACACACACGCGCGCATTGTTACAAATAGCTTTTAGAGGATTTTTTACCGAATTGAAGCTACAACCAAAACATAAATAAAATAGCAATAAAACTTATATAATATAAAATTAAAAAATAAATATTAAATAAAACATACACACATTCAAATAAACAAACATACAAACAAACAAACATACAAGCATACTAACAAACAACCAAACAAAAACAATCAATCAAATAAATGAATAAACATTTAAAATACAATTAATTAAATGAAGATTGCATAGGAAGAAGCAGTGTTAGATAAGCGTATTATAAATTTCATTTCATCAAAATTTTAGTGGGATTTCATTTGATTTTGTAGACTTCTTTGTGCAAGTGCTTTTGTATGTTTGTGTTCATGTGTATGTATGTGTATTTTTATGTTTTGTATAATTTTGTATGTGCATATTTTGTGTGTGTGTGTTTTTCCTCTCAGTAGTGTATTTTTTTTTGTTTGTTTGTTTGTATTTTTGTATATCATATTTGTGTATTTTTTGTAGGTTTGGATGAGTTTTGTATGTTTTAGCCTAAAAAACCGAATGCAACATAATGTGAACTACATCAAACAATCAGCTTGATGAGTCATCTTACAAAACTTTTCTTGACAATTCTGATGATGAGAGTACGAACCAAAATCAGATCTGAAACCAGTTGAAGTTTTTTGGTCACATCATGCGGAAGGAAAGAATTTAAATTCTAACAACTACTGGAAAGATTGCAGGGAAAAGAGATCGCGGTTAACAACGAATAACATTCGTGAAGTCCTTGTGTCACTTGTTGAACATCACCACATTTCAACTACTACAAAGTGTTGAAGATCGGGTTTTGTGGAGGTCGATGGTCGCCAATGTCCTGAAAAGATAAGGCACAAGAAAGAAGAAAGAAGTTTATGCTGATATTTTGTGTTTAGATATGTGTTTATCAGATTGTGTAGTCTGCTTTTTTGTATAAATTCTTGTTTTAGGTGTCTTAGTATTTATTTAATTGTCGTTTAAGTGTTATTTTTGCCTGCATAACTTTTCTGTTTGCATGTACTAGGTGTGTTAAATACTTGTTAACTACAAGAGGTTTACTTTAAAAATGTTTTACTTCATTTTCATTTTGTATACATGTGTTACATTTTTAGGTTTGTATGAATGTTTGGGTAATGTGTATTTGGTTTATATATGTTTATACGTGTAAGTGTACGTGCATGTATGTGTGTTTGTGTGTGTACGGGTGTGTATGTGTGTGTGTACGTGTGTGTGTTTTTGTTTTTTTTTTCCTGGCAAATTTTTATTTTTGTAATGGCATAAAGATTTCTCCACACACAGACCCACACACACACCACACACCACATACACACTAAGAGAGATAGAGAGAGATAGAGAGAGAGAGAGAGAGAAAGAAAGAGAGAGAGAAAGAGAAAGAAAACACCCAACGCATCAAGTTACAAATTTTCTTTAAAGTTTGATGTCATTTTCATCTCATTTTTCAAACTAAAAAAATAATTAACGAAAACATAAGAATCTGGCAAAAAAATAATTCAGTGTAAAAAGCCAAAGAAATCTTTTTGTGAGTTTTGATAAATTAATTTTGAAATAAAAATATTGTTATAACCACGGGAATTGCGCTGTGTTATTTATTTTTTGACTATTGTTATCTTTGTAATCTTTGTAATCTTTTGGTTGTAAAATCGGTTATAATGACATCATACTTAGTGAAGTTTAGCAGTCGAGGTTTACAAGAAAGTTTAAAATCAAGTAGTTCCGAGCAGAGGAAGCAAAATCGTTAATGTGATTTATGTAGCACATTGTTTCTATAACTGTTGCTATTCAAATAAACGTTCAACAAAGTTTGCCTTCGAAGCAGCTGTGTTCATCTATCGAAAATCTTGAACCTAAGAAATAACAAACTCTTGACCATCGTTGGAAGCTACACCACTGGTGTTGAAAATATAGAGTTCATTGAAATTATGACATCGGTGTTGGTAGTTAAGAGGTCAAGGGTCACAAAATATTATTATTTTATCTAACTTTCTTCAATTAAAAAGTATTCACGGTTACAAAAATTGAAAACTTTTCTGCCATTACCAGCAAATATCTTTGTAAAAATTGACACACGCACACACCTCATATCATACCATAATAACGACAATAACAATGATAATACAACGATAATTATAACTCTAAATAAATCTCCCGCCAAAATTTTTCCTCAGACGACCATGGTAAAATTCGACGGCGTCTTGAGATCCTTCGTTTCGAACAACAGCATACCCACGCAAGCTTTTGAAGTTCGTGTGCTATTATTATTATTATTATTATAATTAAATATATCTTTCACTCCTATGCACTTGTAACGTCATCGAGCTTTGGAGGATCGTACATTTCATTAAAACTCAATTTTTATTAAACTTCATTTTATTTGTCATTTCTTATTATTTTGAATTTTATTTTATCGATTGAATAAATAAAATATGTTCACATCATCATTGTTTAATACTTTTAATTTGACATTGATTAAAACTAATTGGCCTATATCATTAACTGATAAAATATTTGACTTAGTTATTAAAGCGTCGCATGCTATTTATTGCGAAAGGAAAACTGTATAACCATTTTTAAATCATCATCTCATCATCACCATCATCAACATTATTGTTATCATCATCATCATCATCATCAATGTCTTCATCATCATCATCGTCATCTTCGTCTTCGTCATCATCATCATCATCATCATCATCATCAATGTCTTCATCATCATTGTCATCATCGTCATCGTCATCATGAACAGTACAAAGGCATTGAGTAATGGTGGTGTTTTGTTTTCATTAGGTTATAGCGCTTGACATTACGGCATCACAATTAATCATATGATGGGGACGACGATGACGACGACGATGATGACGCGACGTGGTGATGATAATGATGGCATTAATAATTATAATAATATCAAAAATAATATGATAATTATTATTAATATTATTATTATAACAGCAACAACACTGGCAATGATAATTCAAATCTTAATTTAATCTTTTTATTAATTCTTGTAATAATTATAATTTATTACTATATTAATTCTGGAAACAGCAATTGATATTGGTGGCCAGTAACTCTGGAATTCGAGACAAATCACTAATATGCTATCCGCTCCATGCTTTCTCCTACATTCTCAATCATTATCAAGTTAGTAATGACGACGACGACGATGATGATCGTTATGACGATAATGACGCTGCTATTGTTGCTTCTGCTGCTGCTGCTGCTGCTAATGATGATGAAGATGATGATGATGATGATGATGACGATGTAGTTGATGTTATTGATGATGTAATTGTAGCTTTTGTCGTTTTAATAGTACTGCTAGTTAGAAGCGGCAGCATTAATAAATGTAGTAGTTGTAGTAGTAGTTGTCGCTGTCGTTGTAGTAGTAGTGGTAGTGGTAGTAGTATCAGTAGTGTTAGTTGTAGTAGTGGGAGTAGTAATTGTAGTAGTAGTAGTGATGTTGAGTAAGAAACTACGTGATGTACAGATGGTAAGAGATAATTGCTCTGATTGCAATTGTTCACCGCTCAAAAATAGTTTCTTCAATATTATTTCAGGCATGGTGGGAAAAAATTGTTTGATATTTTTTATTATATATATATATATGTGTGTGTGTGTGTGTGTATGTTTGTGTGTGTGTGTTTGTTTGTGTGTATATGTTTGTGTTTGTGTGTGTTCTTTAGTTTGTGTTCAAGTGATTTCTAATCTTTTCACTTTTTATCTTAAAAAATGATTCCATTCATAGAAACTAATCAATTTAATTTTGCCTTTTTTCCCCCTATTATCTATATTTATTTACTTTCATTTTCATTTCTTCATTTATTAGTCCATTGATTCATTCTTTCATTTGTTCAACTTTCTACAGTTCCTTAGTTTGTACATTCATTTCCTGCAAAATTTCCTGTTATATTTCTCACCAAATTAAATCCGTCTCCACTTTTATTTTCATCTTTTGCTCATTCATCTTTCGCTATTTTGTTCGCTTGATTTTATTCTAAATCCCGTTTATTCTTTCATTAAAATATTTTTTTATTTATTCGTTCGTTCATTCATTCATTCATTCATTCATTCATCCAAACGATCGTTACTTGATTTTACAGTTACTTGGCCTAGGTATACAATGTCTTATTTTCTCTTTCTCTCTCTCTCTCTCTCTCTTTCTCTCTCCCTTTCTCTCTCCCTTTCTTTCTCTCTTTCTCTTTCTCTCTCTCTCTCTTTATCTCTTTTTCTCTCATTCCTTTACTTACTTTTACTTTGTTTTTCTCTTTCTCGTTTTCAATTTTTTTCACATTATTTTTATTTTTTTTAACAATTTTCACGTTTCCGTCAGTCAATCATTATATTTATTTCTGCGAAAAATAATTTCAAAAAATTTTTATAACAGGAAAAGGCGCAGAATAGCGACGAACATTTAGGATCTTTGGTGAATTTGAGCCGGAAGTTGTCAACACTCATTGACAACTGTCAGCCCAGCGAGGAAATGCTGGAAATACTTTTAAAGGTTAGGATGATGATGATGACGATGATAAGAATGATGTTGATGACGATGATGATGATGATGACACTTAACATCAAAATAGTAATAACATTTAAAAAATATGAATATTATTCTTGCGACGACCAATGCAAAATTCTTTTCATGCTGGCAGATTTATGACGCTGCGAAAAATTCCTCTACAGAGTTTGCTTTATCTCAAAAAAAAATTTCGTTGTTTTATATTTTTGTATCTGTTTGTATTTTTTGTATTAATATTTTTTACACGTTAAAAAGAGAGTTTAAATTTAAAAAACATTCCAGAAAAAATTTTAATTTCAATTTTCAAGGCCACTGCCATATTCTCTTAGCTCACGTTTTTTTATAAAAGCTTTATATTTTTGCCTTTTTCTGTGGAATATTTTTTCAAAATCGTTGCCAAAACAAAATATATAAAATACTGAAATTAACAGATAGTGTATTCTATGCATGTATATTTGTGTTTGTGTGTGTGTGTATTTGTATGTATAGGGTACATGTATGGATGTGTATTCATGTATGTATGTATATTTATGATCATGTACGTGTACGTATGAATGTATGTGTGTGTGAGAGTTAGTGTGTTTGTGAATTTTATTTTATTTGGACCTAAGATTCGAACAAGTGTTGTTGATATTCAGCTTTTATTATATAATGTTTGCATTAACAGGGTTGAATCTACAAAGTTTTTAGGTGTCATTATCTCTAGCAATTTATCCTGGACTAGTCACATTCAATTCATTTCACAAAAGGCTACAAAAAATTTAGGAATACTTTACCGACTGAGATCAAGGTTTCCAAGACATATTTTAATAACACTATATAATTCTATTGTTTTGCCATTTTTCACCTATTGTATTTCTATTTGGGGTTTTACAACAAAATCTAACGTTTGTATGTTGAATCTTTGTCAAAATTATTTTATTCGTATTTTGTTTGGGTTACCAAAATTTGAGCATATCAGTCATTTGTTTATATCATCTGGAATTTTAAAAGTTTACCAGTTACACATTCTTTTCACGTTAATGTTTTTTTATAAATTATTTAAACTAAATTTTTGTCCTTCCTTGTGCCACCAATTAAATCATTTAAACAATAATCGATCAATATTTTTAAGACATAATATAGATTTTTATTTTCCTAAACCTCGTACTAACTTTTTTATTAATTCCGTCTTTCATGTCTCTTGTCGACTTTGGGACTTATTACCAATTCACGTAAAAAATTTGAATACTGCTGGTTTATTTAAAAATTCAGTTTATCAATTAATCTTAACGAATCATTTTTCCTCTTTCATTACCGGTTAATTCCCTGTGTAACTATGCTATTGTTTTTATTTGGTTCCTAAGGTTTTTGTCGATTAATTATTACTATTTTGTTTGGTTCTATTTTTTTTCTTTCTTTTATCACTTATTGTTTATCTTTGTTCGAATTTTATTCCAATTTCTGTTTCGGTGGCCCAACAAGTGCAAACTTCGGGTCTCCTAGTATTATGTATTTAATGATACTTTACTGAATAAAAGATTATTTGAATTGAATTGAATTGAATTGAATGTGTGTATGTTTGTATATCTTCAATGTAGATAGTTAATTGCTTCCGTTCGTGCAACGGCATTAAACAGTACCAAACGACTCATGTGCACGTTGTATAACAACATAGAATGATCCATTTCATTGTGTTTTTGTTTTCTTGCTGCTGAAACATCTTAAAATATTCATCAACAAGCATAACTTTTGACCAGCGAAAATTCTAGAAAAATAAAACAAATTGTTTTTTTTTCACTGGAATACTGACATCTTGAAAGATTCGTTTTTTTTCATAAAAATGGTAATTCCAGATAATTTACAAGCAACCCAACCGTTGGACGTAATGTGATGGATATGAGTGGGTTGGTTGAGGTGCAAGAAGTGTTCATCGATAAACATAAGCATGCTCCCTACATTATTGATGTGATGAAACGTTTTTAGATGCCTTCCTACATACCAAAATGTTTCCATCTATATATACATACATGCATAAATACATACATACATACATACATACATACATACATACATACATACATACATACATACATACATACATACATACATACATACATACATACATACATACATACATACATACATACATACATACATACATACATACATACATACATACATACATACATACATACATACATACATGCATGCATGCATACATACATGCATACATACATACATACATACATACATACATACATACATACATACATACATGCATACATACATACATACATACATACATACATACACACATACATACATACACACATACATACATACACACATACATACATGCATACACACATATATATATACATGCCTATACAAGCAGATACACACATACTGTACACTTATACATACAAAACTCATTCAAAAACATAGAGATATAAGACATTTTTTAGCAAAAATTTTGTATGTACTGACATTTATAAATGCTAACAGAAAAATGGCATAAGTACCAGCAGACTTTTTCAGTATGAGAATGAATAAACATTAGTAAACAAACATGAAGACATGCATTCCACTAAACATCCACTTGTGTTTTATTTCTTATAAGAATAACAAAAGAACCAACAACATCCCTTATTTTTAGTACTGTTATTGTTAGTCTTTTTACTGTTTATTACTAACATTAATACTACTACATTTCAGTTGTAGCAGCAGTTGCAGCAGTTGTAGCAGTAGTAGTAGTAGAATATGTGGTAGTGGTCGTAGTAATAGTAGTAATACTATTAGTAGTAGTAGTGGTCGAAAAAGTAGTAGTAAAGTTGTAGTAGTAGTAGTAGTAAATATGGTGCTGCTATTACTACTAGTGGTAGCGGCAGTGTAAATAGTAGTAGTATTTATAATAAAATTAGTAGTTTTAGTAGTAGAAGTAGTAGTAGTTTTAGTAGTAGTAGCAGCAGCAACAGTTGTAGTAGTAATAGCATTATTATTATTATTATTATTATTATTAGTAGTAGTAGTAGTAGTAGTAGTAGTAGTAGTAGTAGTAGTAGTAGTAGCAGTAGTAGTAGCAGTAGTAGTGGTGGTAGTAGTAGTAACATAATAGTGGTACAGGAAATATACTAATTTTTTTCCAAGTCGCAAACATTAAAGGGGAATTTTTTATGCGGTTCTTGTAGAAATGAAGGCAAATAATAATAACAATAAAAAAATATTAATAACAACAAAATATTTTATGGAACCCTCTTAAGGAGTTGGTCGCGAGGACTGCCTTGATGACGACGAAGGTGATGATGGTGATGATGACAACGATGATGATGGTAGTAATGATGGTAGAGATGTTGACAATATTGATGGTAATGTTGATTTGACTAACACCAAAAAAATTAAATTAATATGAACGAAGGACGAAGATAGATATAACTATTGGGTAAAAACTCAGCGTATAGGTATGGAATATGCTGAAAAATTGCGAAATTCGAAAGCAAGATAATACAAAAACTGATAAAGACAAACAAAACAATACAAAAATACAAACAATAACAAAAAAATATAAAAAATAAAAAAAAATACAAAGAATTCAAGCCGAATACATCTGTTTGAAAGTAATCCAGTCTCGAAACAGCAGAGGAAAAAATGAGAAAATGATTTATAATTTCATTAAAAAAATATAAAACTTTGTAGAATTAGATAGGAAATGAACTGGAGAAAGTACACATGTACTTTGTCTGTGCTTTGAATTCACACATACAAGTTGATAATATAAAAGCACAAAACATACTAAAACACACGAAATACTCATGTGCGTGTATGAGTGAGTGTGTGTGAGTATGTTTAAAATATGTTTATAAGTGTGTACCACATGTGTGTATGTGTGTGAACGCTATGTGTGTGTGTATAAACGCATACACACCACCCACACTTATTGCTATTCAATGTTACCATGCTGGTTCAATACTTTTGATTTATATGTGCGTGTGGGCAGATAATGTTTGTATTATTATTATTATTAATATTATTATTGTTATTAATTTTTATTTATATAGCGCTAATTAAATAAAAAAATCTCAAAAGCACTCACATAAATGAAACAGTATACGAGTGAACGATTAAAGAAAAATACTAAATGTTAAACCAAAGAAAATAAATGCGTTTTCAATTCTTTTTTAAAATTGTTCAAAGAATTTCGAGGTCTTCTTAGCAACTCCGGCAGAGCGTTCCAAACCATCGGACCAGCAACAGCAATGTCACGCAATCCTGTTTGCAAACGATTAACTGATATTATCAAAAGGTTCGCATCGTCCAATCTCAAACTGAAATTCGATGTGAATGTTTTCCTGACAAATCTACTGGACAAATACTCCGGAGCAAGGCCATTTAACGATTTGAAAACTATGACCGCCATCTTGAAGATTATCCTCTTGTTGATTGTCAACCAGTGGAGATCATTCAAGATCGGCGTAACGTGATCGAACCTCAGCCCACCTACCTTAGTTTAGCCGCACGATCGATTCTGGATTGATTGTAGAACTGCTATCGACGTCTGGGGTAGCCTGTAGAATAAACTTTTGCAGTAGTCGACGTGTTTTTGTACGTATGTATGTATGTATGTATGTATGTATGTATGTATGTATGTATGTATGTATGTTTGTATGTATGTATGTTTGTATATATGTATGTATGTATGTATGTATGTATGTATGTATGTATGTATGTATGTATGTATGTATGTATGTATGTATGTATGTATGTATGTATGTATGTATGTATGTGCGAGCCCTTGGTTAAAAACAATAGCAATAAAAACTATCATTTCGCCACTGCTCAACAGATAATATTAGTGTACATGGTCTCGCACAGAAGGGCACTTAGCAATGTTCTCTAAAATACAAAATGAATTAAACTTTTGCAACAACAACTATATATTTTGCTTTATATAAATATTATCATTGGGATCACCAGATTTTTCAACTATTTTAGTACCTATGTTATCAAAAAATAATTGTGCCTGTTTATCCACTGAATGTATGTATGTATGTATGTATGTATGTATGTATGTATGTATGTATGTATGTATGTATGTATGTATGTATGTATGTATGTATGTATGTATGTATGTATGTATGTATGTTTGTATGTATGTTTGTATGTTTGTGTGTTTGTATCGTTTCGTTTTGTTTTGTATACATTAATTAGACATTAATAAACTATTAGCAGATGGTAGTCTTCGGTATTTTTAAATCTGTTTGATGCTGCAGAGGATTGAAACTCATAAGCGAAATTTCATCTACATGGCAATCTTTGAAGTGTTAAATGCTCTTGTAATTGTGTATATGTGTGCGTGTGTGTGTGTGTTTGTGTGTGTGCATGTGTGTCTTCAAGTGTGTATGTGTTTGTTTCTGAAAGAGTGTTGTTTTTATATTTGTTGAAACGTGTTCTAGCATCGTTAAAATATTAGTGGGCAAGCATAAGTGTGGAATAAGGAGTGTTGTTTTGAGGTTTCAAATTTGTTTGTTCATTCATTTGTCGTGTTTCAGTGTGTTTGTGTTTATTTTATGTGTGATATGCCTTGATATGTGTGTATTTTTCTGTGCGTCTCCACCTATCCTATTTATGAAGTGCAAACATCTTTATAATAGTTTGTTCATCTGATTTGTGTTTGAGTGTTTCTGTGTTTTTGAATAAACGTTCAAAAGGTTCATAAATATTTGATTTAATATGCAATAAAATATCTATTTTTAAAATTAGTTTGTAGGTACGTATGCGTGAATATGCGTCAGTACGTATGTTTTATGTGCGTGTGTATTTTTGTGTATTTGTATACGTGTGTGTGTGTGTATGTTATGAGTGTGTGTATGTTTGTATATGTGTGTTTGGGTACCTTGAATTTTTTTATTTGTTTAAAGCTACTCATTTATCATTATTACAAATTGACACTGGTGATCAGTACAAGAAGTCCAGATTTCTTTTTAGATTTCCAGATCATTTCCTTTCATTGATTTCATTTTTCTGATTTCATTGTTTGATTTGATGAAATAAAATGTCAAATGTCAAATATATGTGTACGTGTTTGTATAAGTGTGTGCAGTAATAGAAGTAATAGTAGTAGTAGAATTAGTTGTTGTTGTTGTAGTAGTAGTTTTAAAATGAAAGCTGAATCACCAGCAAGTAAATATTTACTTGTGGTTTGTTGGGAGGAAATAAATGATGATATGAGGATGGTTGTGAGGATGAGGAAAGCAAACACGACAAAGATGACGATAAAGATAGTAAAGGTGATATGATGTGATACTATACGATACGATACGATACAATACGATATGATATGATATGATATGATATATGATATGATATGATATGATATGATATGATATGATATGATATGATATGATATGATATGATATGATATGATATGATATGATATGATATGATATGATATGATATGATATGATATGATATGATATGATATGATATGATATGATATGATATGATATGATATATACGATACGGTACGGTACGATGTGATGAGATACGATTCGACACGATACGATACGATACGATACGATATGATATGACATAAC